ATTAAATATAATAAAATACAAAATAAGTATTTAATATTTATTAAATAAAATATTAATTTATTAATAATTTAAAATACCTTGTAGCAGCATTTTCTGAAGCTGAATCAGTAATTAATCCATTGATTTTAATTTATTTTTGTTCAAGTTGTTCAAAAGATCTTTTTGTTTTAGCTATTATAATATCACCTGTACTTCTTTTTCCACTAATATCTTCAACTTTCCAAATAATCATATTATCTTTTAAAGTAAATAGAACAGATCCTAATAAATTATGATATGCTATATTCTTCTAACTATCAAAAGCTAACATAATATCAAGATCATCATTAATAGTATTATTGAAAATATTTTCTGAAATTTTATTAGCAGCTTTTTTGAGAATCTGATCACTAAGTTAGTTTTGACTTAGTAAAGGTAACATTGGATTAATCCATTTGAAAAGTTTTTTAACTGCTAGATTTTCAATCTAGCAAAAGGAAAATCTACATGTAACAGTAACATTTAATAATAATTTTCAAATAATTCAATTTATTCAGATTTTAACTTATGATAAGTATAATTATCAAGTAGTCCATAACTTTGAAGAGAAGAAACATCAAAAATGCTACTAAAATTATTTGAATGTGTTGCTTTATAGAAAAAGTTATTTAAATTAGATGGCAATATATAAAAAGTTGAGTATTCATTTTTTTCAGCTTCATCTTCATTAACATAATTAATTTTATTTATTTATTGTCAATTTGATGTTTTTGATCTATGTTTCTTTGCTTTTTGAAGTATAGAAAGGGTTTCTTCATGAATATGTTTTTTAGTCTAATAAGAATAATTTTTTATATATTTTGTACAGACTCGCTTGATATTAGTAAATCTTTGCTTAATAGCTTCTTCTTGACCTAAAACCTGAATACATTTTCGACAAATAGCAAGTTATTCAATCTATTAGATTTTTCTTCTAATATCAAAAAATATCTGCTGAGTATGTATTTTACTCTCATACTATTTAAAAAAAATTAGGTAATTAGCTAAAATATTTAAATTACAAAAAAAAAAAAATAATTAATTTATTGATTACCTTAAAATTGTAATATAATTTTATTTTCAAAAATAAAATATTCTGAAAAAATAGATTGTGTACGATACTTTTGTGACTGATTATAATATGTTAAATAAAGTTTTTAATACAATATCAATAAATTTTTATAAGATAAATAAATTCTGATATCAAATTATCGAAATTAATAGGTAATATTTGATTAAATTTTAATTTATATATTTCTTTTTTTTAAAAAAAAAATAGCGAGAAAAAAAATCAGTGAGCTAAAGCATAAAAAAAATTTTTTATCATCAAAAATAGTTTAAATTTAAAAAATGTAATAGTGATATGAAATGTTACACTGATTTCTTCATTTTTATTTAGAATTTAGAATTTCAATGGTAAACTAAATTCAAAATAAAGTAAAATAGCACAATATTCCAAAAATATTATTTTATAATCAATTGGATATAGTCCAATTGCAAGTTCCAATTGTTTAATTGAATAATTAGACCTAGTTTAAATATAACAAAATCTGAATTGAACAATTTGACATTTGGATACAATTAAAGATAATGTCTCAATTAGTTGCAATTAGTGATAAATAAGTATCATAATATTGCAACAAATTGTAACATTATTAAAATTTAAGTTGCAACAGGTGATAAATAAATGTCATAATATTGCAATGCTATTTTTAGACACAATTGAATATAGTCTAATTGTTTAATTGTTCAAATCATCCAATCAAGTCAATTAGAATGAGGCCAATTATATCACTAATTGCAACTAAATTTAATTTAACTGATATACTTATATTAATTATATATTTTATATATTAAACAGTCATATGACCAAATGGTAAATTCAGGTTAAATTTATAATACTGATTAAAATTATTATTTAATATTAAATAAAAATAGTTAAAATAGTTTTATATGAATAAAATAATTAGTTCTAGCTTTAATAGAATAATTTTATGAAGAATTCTAATTTATTTAAATACTATAAAAAAATTTAAAAAAGGAAATTTATATTATATAAATTATAATTCTAACTAGCATTATATATTTGATTTAAATTATTTCTGGTCGAAATAGTCCAAATCAGCTAAAAATCAGATGGCTAATTTTAGGCTGATTTTGATACTATTTATGGCTGATTTGTTATATTTTCTGATTAGCACAAACAGGTGTCGATAGACACTGATCAACTCCAATTAGACATAGCAATTCAGCATCAATTCAGAACTTAAATTCAACTATAAATCAGCCTAAAATTGACCTTAATTTAGTAATAACTCAGACACTAATAGACACTGATCGACTCCAATCAGGCATAGCTATTCAGAACTTAAATTCAACCATAAATTAGCCTAAAATTAACCTTAATTCAGAATTATTCAGCATCGATTCAGAATTTAAATAACCATAAATCAGCCTAAAATTGGCCTCAATTTAGTATTAATTTAGTCAAATAAGCATATAAAATTGATATATTATATTTATTAAAGGAAATATTTTACACTGCGCCCTGCGATCATCATAAATTTATCTTAGAGGGTGTGATATCAATATTTGATACCTCTAAAAAAAAATATATAAAAAATATTAAACTAGCGATATAGCAATATATCACATAATTAAAATTTATTAAACTTTATATAATGCATATTACAAATAATAAAATTGATTAGAACTATATATTAACATCATATTCTTTAAGTATATTATTCTTTCCTTTTTTATGATATGCAGCATTATGATCAGGTTGGCCACATATACAGCATTTATAAGTATTGCAATTTGAAGAACCTTTTGTATTTCTACTATTTTCTTGTTCAATTTTTACACTACTTTTATACCTTTTTGTTGGAGGACGTCCTTTGGTCTTTGTTTTAAGTGGATTTTAAATGTTTTGAAGTTCAAGTTTTTTAGTAATTGATTCAGTATTGTCATTAATATCCATTTGTTCCATTTCATTAGTAAAAAGTATTGGTTCTTTATGCTCTTCAATAGATGGCAATGTAGATATTTCTGTTTGAGTATTTATTAAAGTTGATTCACTTTGCCCTTTTTTTCGATTGATATAATCTTGTAATAAATGTTCTATCTTATGATCGTCAGAATCCAATGCAAGTAATGTAGCTTCGCGTGCTATTCCCCATAATTTTCCATATCTTGTTCTTTTTTCAATAGATTTCTTCATGATTGGTACAGTTTTTGGAATAGTAA